TCATTGGCATGTCTGTCTTTAGGTTGGGAAAGTTTTCTTCTATGATTTTATTGAATTTGTTTTCTGCACCTTTGAGTTGGATTTCTTCACCTTCTTCTATACCTATTATTCTTAGGTTTGGTCTTTTCACGGTATCCCATATTCCCTGTATATTTTGTGTTAGGGATTTGTTGGACTAAGATTTTCTTTGGTTGATGATTCTATTTCCACTAGTGTGTCTTCAACTCCTGAGATTCTCTCTTCCATCTTCCATCTTCTGTTGGTTATGCTTACGTCTGCAGTTCCTGATTGTTCACCCAGCTTTTCTATTTCCAGCATTGTTATGTTTTTATTTAAAAAGAGGAAAAGAGAAAGCTTTAAGATGAGACATGTTGACTAGTTTATTATACGGGCCTGACAGAGTAGGGAGACTGAGAGAGAAGAGGAACAGGGGTAATGGCTGACCGCCATGGCCAGTCGCCATAGAGAGCCAAGAAGAAACAGAGAAAGTAGAGTGAGTGAGAGAGAGAGAGAAAGTAGAGAGAGAGAGAGAGAGAGAGAGAGAGAGAGAGAGAGAGAGAGAGAAGTTGGAGCTTTTAAAGGGAAGACTGCACATGCACACTGAGGATCCACGCATGTCCAGAGTCATCATGGGTGACGGGTGACGTGGCGATGATGTAGCATGTTTTCTTGCACATGCCCTGAGTATTGTCAGGGGGCGGGGCCTGTCTCTTAAAGAGGTAGAGCCGATCAGCATCAAAAGCCTGAACCTTTCAAGCATTCCCTCAGATTGTGCTTTCTTTATTGTCTCTATTTCAGTTTTTAGGTCTTGAACTGTTTCCTTGAGAGATTTGTTGATATCTTGTATTTTTTGGTTTGTTTTTTCTTCTATTTCTTTAAGGAATTTTCTTATATCCTCTTTGAGGTCTTCTATCGTTTTCATGAAGATGTTTTTAAGGTCATTCTCTTCTGCTTCATCTGCATTGTGATGTTCAGGTCTTGCTGGTGTATGGTTCCTAGTCTCTGATGGTGTCATATTGGGATTTCTGTTGTTGAATGTGCTTTTACATTGTCCTCTTCTCATCCTTTCTTCTGGTGGGTGTAGCAGAAGTCTTTTCCTCTCCTGGTGTGTATGGGACCAAGGTTCCCTTCTGGTAGATGCAAACAGTTCCAATACTCTGATGTCTGTCCTTTTGTCGTGGATGGAGGCAGAACTGCTACCGGGGCCTCGGCAGTGTCCGGCGAGCAAACCCTTGGCGTCAGAGTCAGATGCCTCAGACTAGGATTTCTTATTTGCTAGCTCAGTCTTTTTTTTTTTTTTTTTTTTGGTTTTTTGAGACAGGGTTTCTCTGTGTAGATTTGGAGCCTATCCTGGCACTCGCTCTGGAGACCAGCCGGGCCTCGAACTCACAGGCCTGCCTCTGCCTCCCGAGTGCTGGGATTAAAGGCGTGCACCACCAATGCCCGGCTGCTAGCTCAGTCTTAGTTATCAACCATAACTACTAGTCTATATATTTTATAAAGACTTATCGAGGATGCCAGCTGCATGAGTCATCTCTTCCTGGGGTCACATGGCAACTGCACTTTACTACATTTCCCAGAATCCTCCTTCTCTCCCAGTCCTACCTATCTTGCTTCCCTATTGGCCAACAGTGTTTTACTCGTTAACCAATAAGAGAGACATATACACAGAAGGACTTCCCCCATCAATGCAGGACATCCCTTCCCTTGGAAATCTTTAGGAGTGGACTCCTTGCTTTGTCTGGTAGGGCTAAAGTCATTCAGATGCCCACCATGCTGCTTGCTTGAAGTATGTTGAACTCAGTCTCCCTCCCTCCCTCCCTCCCTCCCTCCCTCTCTCCCTCCTTCCCTCCCTCCTACCCTCCCTCCCTATCTCTCTTTCTATCCTTCTGCTAACACCTTCCTCCTCCCCTGAGGTAACTACTTTATTTGGTGGACAGTTTGGGGCCCACCTCTATTTATATTATTATTACATATCAATTCCTTGGTTCTTTCTTCTCTTCTTCTTCTTCTTCTTCTTCTTCTTCTTCTTCTTTTTCTTTTTTTTTTTTTTTTTTTTTTTTTTTTTTTTTTTTTTTTTGCAACAAGCCTTCCTTTCCTTTCCTTGGAGTGCACTCTGCCCCAGTCAGTCAGTGGGATGGTATCCAAACTATCATTTAGAGACTGTTTTGATTTTTCTCATTTACTTCGGGAAGTATTTTTTTTTTCCCTTTGAGAGTTTTTACTTTCCTTTTAATTGTGAACCGTTCTGCTTGTGGAGTGGATACAAAGGTGGGCAGGTGGGATGAAAAATCTTCACTTTGGAATAAATAAATGGACAGAGCCTTCCTGTGCAGAAAATCTCCTACCTCCGAGATAATAGGTTATGAGTTTTAGAGGGCCCGATGACAGATTTTTGCCTCATCTGAAATCTTTCAAACAAGGTGCACCAGGGTTTAGCTCTGAGGCTTTCCTGGAAGGATTTGTCAAGGTGGCTTAGTGCTTTGATTCATTAACGGAAAGCTGGGGTTCTATATAAATGCAAATGCCACTCTCCTTCAGCCATCAACTCTCTCTCAGGCACAACTTGAGGAAAAGCAGCTGGAATCTAAGGCTGTGGCTTCACCTGCATTTGGATCCTGGGACACAGGGATGAAGGTGATGTCACACTCACAGTTCTGCCTTGTCTTGAGGTGGAGCCCAGGCCTTTGTTTGCCACCGAGGCCAGTAGCCCAATGCTCTACTAGCTACATGGGGCTTCCAAAGAAGAATCTTTTGGGAAGTAAATTCTAATGAATCGAATGTTTGTGTGCCCCACAAACTCAAACACTGCAATCCTAACTCCCATGTGATGGTGTCTAGAGAATCTTAGTCACCTCCCTGTGGCTGTGATAAAATACATGAAAAAGACTTATTTTGGCTCAGGATTCAGAGCTGCCCTTGGTCCTGTGTCTCCATCAGTTCTGGAGCTGTGGTGGGGCACATAGCTGTGGCAGGAAGCCCATGGCCAGCATAGCTGCCCACCTTGCGGGGTAGTATAGGCAGGTAGTGAGTCACACAGCAAGTGTAAGGTCAAGCTGGGTCCTTTCCTCTTCTTATTGACTTTGGAGCTCATTTGGAGCTTTGGTGTCTCTGGCAACACACTAATCCTAAACATGGGGAAAACATCACAATTAGTCTCCTGCAGACTTAAAAGGCCACATGAAAGGAGAGAGGAAGTGTCACAGCTGCTCCTCCTTAGGACTTAAAATAACATACAAAGAAAAGAAGATGGAGGCAGCAGGGGCTTCATGGAGGGTCCATCAGAAGAAGGCTAGTTCCTTCTGGTGAAACAGGCTTCTTTATAGATTTCATTTTTCTCTCTTTAGTTCTTTTAAATCTACTCAGTTTTATGAGGTTATAGCAAGAGTTGGATCCGCGTTGAAACTCTGTCCCTAGGTGGAGAAATGATATTGGAAGCTCCTACAGAGATTATAAAGTCCTATACTATTGGCCTCTCCATTAGGAGTTAATCCAAATGTCAATCTCCTGACCAGGAAGCCACACTCCAGGAAAGTGGATGCAGCTGAATACCTGTTAAAAAGGTGGAAGGATAGCTGTCCCTGGATGAGATGTGTACTGATGTACTGAGAGAGTCCTTCCCTCCTTGAAGTTACTGTGACTGTACCAGCTTCTGAATCCTAGCTCACAAAATGTAAGTTTTCCTTTCCCCTTCCATATCTCTTTTTTATTTACCAAATTAAAACCCTAAACGGGCTTGCCTGGACCCTCTAGGGGTTCTGTGTCTATCACTCAGAATCCCCATGTCCCTATCCAACTCCTTCGCTAAGCCTGCCTGCCTTACTTATCTTTCCAACTGTAACAAAATTGTCCTTGAGTTTCCTTTGGAGTCATTTTTAAAATTCTGTTATCTCCAAGGCTAAAGATTTGCAGAAGGGGACTATGTGTGTTCACTGGTAACAGCCCTGTGGTGTTGGGAGGAGGAGGAGTCAGGGAGCACAGTCCCAGTATAGCTTCAAGGGCAAATCACCAATGTCCTGTTTCACCATCTCAGCCCCACATCCTAAGGGATGTGCCATCTCCGGTAGCCGGGTGAGCTGGGTTGGCCAACCCTCTGTAAGCCCTGTGCTAATTAAGTCACGATTGAGGTGGAGCTTTGGGGAGATGACTAGGTCATGATGGCAGATCACTGATGTGGAATTTGGACCCCAGAGCAGTTTGCACCTCTGCTGTGTGTGGGTAGACTAACACATCACCATCTCTGAACTGGGAAGTTGAGCCTCTCCAGACACCGGATCTGCAGGCATCTTGATCTTTGACTCCCCACCTCCTGAGCAGGGAGTAATCTATTTTGATGTTTACAGGCCACTGATTTCATGGTGTTTTAGTTACAGCAGCCTGAATGAACTGCAATGGGAAGGAAGAAGAAGCCACACAAACTCCTATTTCTGAATGTTAGACCCCCGGAAAACTCAGGTATCCGGGGTCCCAGGCCATGACTGCGGTCACCCCAATCACCAGGCAGATTCCAGAGCTTGCTGCAAACTGCATGAGGCTTTATTGTAATTTAACAAGCTAACCCCATGTTCCCTCGGGTCTTTTGTCCACCCACCATGGCGGGTGGCTACAAAAGACAGCTCCTAGGGGCTCCTGAGAGATCTTGTAGGGCAGCATAAGGGGAATGTCTAGGGGTACGCACAGGCTCAGGATTGGTGTGCCCCAGGCTTGGAGGGCTTGCCCGGTGTTGATTGGCCAATGGGTTGTTATGGCCCATAGGCCCTCCCAGGGTGGTTGCTATGCTCTGTGCTTCATTGCTGTGCGCTTGTCCGTAAAGCACACCCAGGGTGGTAAAGCATAGCGCTACCAGCTAACTTCTGATTGGTTCCTTGTCACGAGGCAGGCATCTGGCCTTTAAGTGACCAAGGCAAGGTTACTGTCATGGCTGCCGAAATGGGGAGCTGGTCCCTTCAGTACTCACAACAGCATGTATTTGTGGAGTTTTGAAAGCACATTGGATCCTCGTGTCACACTTTTTGGTTATTGATATTTATTTTCCCGGCAAGACAGAATGTGAAAGAGGCAGTGCAAGGTGACAGGAAGCAGGTGCAGTCTTTGCACAGCCTACAATGGTTGTGGGTCTTATCATGTTGACAGGGTAGGGAAATGCCAGCCTAAAAGGTCTTGGATTCCTGGGCTTGGGTGAACTCGGGTATAAAACCTAATCCCTGACTGTTGGACATCAGTGGACATACGCCTGGCTTCCAGGAAACCCATAAGGCTTACACAGCCTGTGAAAACTCAGTGGGACAGATGTGTTTCTAAATCACTGAAGTGAATGATAATAGCAGTAAATGCTGTATAAATATGCTTGGCCTCAAGAGGCTTTATAATTTCCGGGCTTGTAACCTTTACCTATCAGCACCACCAGGGGGCGGCAGAGTACTCCCTTTGCCTATTCTTCCTGCTTCAGGTTCTCTGGGTGTTTTCCTTTTACCTTCATTCAGCACAGTGCCCGGAGCCTGGCCTATGGATGGGTCTTGCTTTCTTTTAAAATCAGAAAGAACTAAACAGTATTAATATAAATACAGAACAAGGAACCCAGTCTGTTTTACATTAATCTTTGTACCAACATAGTTGTCAGGTATATTTTATTTTGTTTTGTTTTATTTATTTTTTTTAAATAAGAATGAATCATGAAGGCAAAACTGCCTTATATTTATGAAAGTGATAGTTGTCCCAGGTAGATTCTGGACAGGACTTTGAAGAAATAGTTGGCCTCTTGGCCTACCACTTACTCCGTAATGTCTAAAGTAGTGGTTCTCAACTTTCCTAATGCTGCGACCCTGTAATGTAGTTCCTCATGTTGTGCTGACTGACCCCCCAACCAAAAATTATTTTTGTTGCTATTTCATAACTGTAATTTTTCTACTTTTATGAATCCTAATGTAAATATCTGTGTTTTCTGATGGTCTTAGGTGACCCCTGTGAAAAGGCCATTCAACCCCCAAGGGTTGTGACACGCAGGTCTAAAGGAACCCTGGTCTAAGGAACACCCTTGTGCTGATCCACACTTGTTCACATGGGGTAAGGGTAGCCACATCAGACAGATAGAAGATCTGGGCTTCCACCTTAAATTATGTTATATTCAGAAAATGACACCCCAGAGTGAAACATAGTAGGTAGTCTCAGAAAGCAACACAAAGAAACCTGAGGTCACCTTCCCTAAAGCCAGTCACAGAGGTGAGAGCTGTACTTTTAACTTGCTCCAGCATTGCTGCTTAGGAACTGTCCACAGCAAAAAGGATTCTAGGTCCACAGGGGTCCTGCCTGAGACTAGTGACAGTGGGCAGGAAGGCTGCCGGCTTAGTGGGGTCATGGACAGTCACGTGTGTGTGTGTCTTTTTCTCCTTCTGGCTAGGATATTACAATAGACCTTTACCTCTTGGGACCACATACTACTTTCTGTAGGTTAAGCGACACAGCAATCCCCATGCTTTTTGATTAGCTATATAATGCTCAGAGTTGAAGAATTAGAAGGGCTGAAACATTCTGATGTTATCTGAAGTTCACCATATACCTGGGCAATGAAACCTCCAAACCATTATTTATCAGTTCATGTCTCCATCATTTCTGCTTTGTTTTTCCTTAAAAGTTACAAAGCCAGATACAGAAGCAATTCTGCCCAGGCCAGTTTTCAAAGGAACAAACGTGTTACACTCAGAAAAATTAGAGTAAAAATTATTCCCCTCCCAAACGAATAATGGTGGTTCCTTGATGGATGTTTCAATATTTCTATCTTGTTTCTGCTCTTTGAGGCAAATACTTAAGTGACTTTCCTAATTGCCAGTACATCAGAGGTTTATGTGTCTGTGTGAAAAGACAGCTCTCACCTCAGGGAATAAGATATTTCATTCTGGATCCATGTATGGGTGACCATACATGGATTCAAGCTCCCTCTATTATTATGATCCAATGTGGCAACAGTGTCATGAAGTGTAATAGTAAGAGAACAAAAGAATGTCATAAATCACAGTACTTTTCAAGTATTCTGGTGGAATCATCAGGTAGGCAGTTCCAGCAAAGTGGGGAAATCTTTGCTTTTGGCCCAACATGCTATCTCATGCCATTCTTAACCACTGGGCTAGAGGAGGCTAGGGGCCTTGTCAGTACATTTAGAAAGGATTTATCTAATAGTCACAAGGGTGGTAGGTTAGACACTGCTGTGGACAATGAATGAATGAATGAATGAATGAAACTAACAATAGCTAGGATAATAGTTCTCCACAATTGCAGAAGTACTGATTAGCTAATCCGACTTGCAGAATATTTTTTTTCTTGGAAAATTTCAGTTTACAGGTGTTCTCTATAACAAAGCTGTGAGGAGACTCTGCCCTCTGTCCCCGGTGGGTGCCCTAGCCTCAGGTGAGTCTTGGCGCTGCTCTGCCCACCCCCAACCTTCCTCATCATCACCTGCTCGATTCTGCCTGAGCTCACCAGGACAAGAGTGGACCCACTCAGACTGGAAGGCCCACCCTGAGTCTGGACACACCTCACCTCTGTCCACACTCTGCCCTCTGTCCTGCTGAGGGTGCCCGAACCTCAGGTGAGTCTGGGTGCTCCTCTGCCCCCCTCAAACTCCCACATCAACCCCTGCTTGCTTCTGCCTGAGCCCACCTGGGCAAGAGTGGACCTCCCCAGTCTGGGAAGGCCCACCCTGAGTCCAGACACACCCCACCCTTGTCCACCCACCACTCTGACATCCTGCTGCCTCCAGAGGCTGAGCCCTCCGCCAGCCACCTGAGAGAGAGAGGGACCCCACCTTCATTCACTGGAAGAAGGGAGTAAGAACACACTCAACAACAGAAAAACCAATATGACACCACCAGAAGCTAGGGACTCCACACCAGCAAGATCTGAAAAGCCCAACACAGAAGATGAAGAAGAGATGGACCTCAAAAATTATCTTAGGAAGATGATAGAGTCCTTTAAAGAGGAAACAAGAAAATCCCTTAAAGAAATAGAAGAAAAAACAAGCAAAAAATTACACGAGATGGAGGAAAAGACAAACCAAAAAATTCAAGAAGTAAACAAATCTCTTAAAGAATCTAAAGAAAGCCAAGAAAAAACAGCCAAACAAGTGAAGGAAGCACTCAAAACTCAAAAACAGTTCAAGGCATGAACGCTGAAATAGACACAATAAAGAAAACACAGAAGGAGGGGATGCTGGAAATAGAAAGGTGGGATAAAAGATCAGGAACTAAAGATGTGAGTATAACCAATAGAATAACCAAGAGATGGAAGAAAGAATCTCAGTTGTTAAGACTCTCTAGAGGATATACATTCATCGACCAAAGAAAATCTCAAGTCTAACAAATCCTTAATACAAAATATCCAGGAAATATGGGACACTGTAAAAAGGCCAAACCTAAGAATAATAGGTATAGAAGAAGGGGAAGAAATACAGCTCAAAGGTACAGAAAACATTCAACAAAATCATAGAAGAAAACTTCCCCAACCTGCAGAAGGGTATGTCTATGAAAGTACAAGAAGCTTACAGAACAACAAACAGACTGCACCACAAAAAAAATCCCCTCGACACATAATAATCAAAACACAAAACCTTCAGAATAAAGAGAAAATATTAAGAGCAGCAAAGGAAAAAGGCCAAGTAACATATAAAGGCAGACCTATTAGAATCACACCCGACTTCTCAAT